ATGTATCGTCGGGTATTCATCGCGTCACACCGTTACGCCTTCTCTACTCCGGCCGTTGCGTTCGACATATTTATCGGTGCTGTAATCCAACATCAGTAATCTGGAGTACATATGCCGTGCGCGCAAGATGATCGCAATTCATGAATCGGAATGATCGCTTGTGCTCTTGCATGTTCGCGGACGGTGGGAAGTCGTACCTTGACGAAACCAATGTCGGCGCTCTTCTCGCGGAAGCACTGACGGCAGATGTTGAGGCCGTACTTGCGGATGAGACCAGCAGGGTGGGTGCAGACGCGGCTGTGAGTACCTGATTAGCCACATGTCCACGTATATAAGCCCGTCGATTCGCCTGTGTCCGATGCGCTTCATACAGCAGCATTCCTCCCTCTTCCGTAATGACCAGCCCTCATTTTCAGAATGTGTAGGACGTACCACTCGCGGGAGCCCTTGCCGTAGGTCCTAGGGCGGGAGTACCAGACAGACTCGTGAGACATGTTGGGTGGTTGTGTGTGGGGTTTGCGATGTCGCTGCTGCGCGCGGTATCAGTATACAGATCGGGTATGATGTGCGGTCGTCGTATGGAGGGCAACTGACAGTAAGTGAGTGCTGGAAGGCGAGTTGTCGGTCGTTCGTGGGCGCTGTCGTTCACGATGTCGAAGTTTGGGGTTCGAGACAATTTCGTGCGCGGGTGCGGCAATAAGCGATTGGTCAGAAATTGTCGACTGTGTTGGCCCGTGCGTCACGTCGATAGCACATCGCAAACCCGACCACCATCTTGCTTGCGCGTCAATGCTCAAGAATATTTTACTTTGAATGAGTGGTTCTCCGGCTTCGGCGAAATAACAGAAAGCCTATAAACCTGTGGACGAATACAAGGCGCTGGTGTTGATTGACGCACCGCACATGCCCTGTGGATCTCACATTTCTACCAGGAGGACCAAACTGCGATCTCCGAGAAAGAACATATCACTCTATCGTGCCTTGTACATGATTCATCAGAACTATAGGTGATCTAAATTTTCTGTATACCTCCTACAAGAATTGTCTTAATCTGCATGGTAGCTCGTAGGATACATTCATAGAGGCTCCAAAAACTGTATCAGTGAGATAACATTTTAAATATGAGCAAATGAACAATTTGTATAATCAGGCTGAATCCTTCGACGCATCCATGTCGCACGAACTGAATCTAGCCCAAAGTAGCCCCCATGAAATGCTCCAGTTTGCAGTCCAACACTCCATGATCTTAATTTGGTTCAACCCCAACACCAACAATTCGTCGAGAAGCATGCCGTAGTTTCTACCATCGAATGCTCCGCCTCCTCGCCGTCGTCTGTGTCCCCGTCCTCTGCGCACTCTCGCCCTTCAAGTCAGATACACACTTCAAGTTACTCGGCCGATTCGTGTTCCTCGCACTATACACCCACTTCCCGGGCGCATTCGACGTCATATCTAGCTTCGTATTGCCATTGTTCAGCCAAAGTGACATTTTCTTATTGTCGCCATTGACCACGTTTGAGCTGCACGACACCGAGATCGATCCCGACTGTCTCGACTCCCACGTGTATAAATCCATCGTGACGACGTCGTTGATGGTAGGATTAACCTTGACGGTGACGTTCGCCTTGCTAGAGATGGTTGAGTTGGACTTGAGGCTGATGAGGAGCTCGAAGACGAAGGATGTTTCGGTGGTCACTTTGGGGGCATTTACCGTTGCTGTGGGAGATGTGCCATCTGTGAGGGAAGCTGACGGCGAGGAAGGCGAGACCTGGCTCCACTTGAAGTTGAGATTGTTGTTGGTGACATTCGCCGCGGTATTGGAGCCAACGAGCAAGAAGTTCGTGCCGACGCGCTGAGCGGCGCTGAAAGGGGCGACAGCGGCCGTGGGCGTTACCACTGGACCATCTGCACCAGGTGTGGGCGTGGCATTGGGGTCAGGAAGATCGCCTGGGCTGCATGTCTTTGAGGGTGCAGGAGGTGCAGCGCCGGGGAATGGGCTCAGAGGTCCGTATTGTTTGCCATCCAAGACAGTACCTTGGACAAGGTCAGTGATGTCCGTGAACGGGTATGCCGGCGGATTGGTGCCAGGCACGTCAACTTCGGGGAAGATCCATTCTGTGACAGGCGTGATATATTGACCCGCTTGGAGGCCATCTTTTGTCTGTTGAACAGGTGTGTTTGTAGTAATGCGGTACTCGCGAGTATATGGTTGCAGCCCTGTCGGTTCAACACGTAGTTCAAATCTGCAGCGAGTTTCTTGCTTTGGTGTCGCAGTGCCAATCTGGCGATAAGTCTCTTTGCCCGTGCACGCGTCGACATCGATGGCGCTGATTGTGACGATGGAATTCGCACAACTGGAGAGGAAACCGATGGCACGAATTTCTGCAAACTCCACATTGTTGGCCGTGTCGGGTACGCCAACGAGGAATTCTTCAACTCGAATGTAGTTGGGAATGGTGCTGCTCGCTTGAGTGGTGATGTGAAGACTGATGCAGACGATTTCCGACACGAGCATCTCGCTAGTTCCAGCTCGAAGGCCAGAGTACGTGATGAAGTCGCCGACTTTCAGAGGCACCATGCGCAGGGGGTCTGGGGGATTGAACGACTGGCCAGTACCACGGTTCGAGCTCAGACAAGTCTCGGTGTTGCCAGAGTATGGGATGCACATTGGAAACCCAGAGAATGAGGTAACACTCGGGCTGCTGGTATCTGCAACCCACATGGGCGCAGTCTCCACCTTGGGGCCGAATAAGCCATCTGGATCGTTGACACGGATTTTGACGCCTCCAGAGATGTCAAGGCTTCCATCCGCATTGATAGCTGTGATGTAGCCCTGGCTAGATTCGAGCCCGAATCGCTGAGCAATCGAGATTTGACCTGCCAGCACTGTACCGTCGACAATGTTGCCATAGACAGTAGTCTCGAAGCCCCCCGCGCCTGCTCCACAAAGGTCTTTGAATGGCGCAAAGACGGTTGGAAATGCCACGATCAGATTCTTGGGCACTTGGATGTTGAAGCCGTTGACTTGTATGGAGCCACCAGCATTGTATTCGGTACCTGCAGTGCATCTTTAAAAACGTCAGACGATGAAATTCATAGTTTATTGCAAACCATGACTTACCCATCAAGACTACCAACTACCCCGAAAGGTACAATGCTCGGGGTTTGGGCAAGACCCAAAGAGACGAGAGAGAACAACGCTGAATATCTTGAAAGAGCGTACATGATGAAGGATCTTGCGAGGACTAACTGCCAGGTGTGATGATATCCTAAAGTCTGTCACCCCTCGTCCTTTTATACCTTTTGCATACGGCTATGTAGCATTCATTTCCCTCGCATCGTCTAGACTTGCTGGTTTGCAATCTTGGCTACCTCGATAGTACGAGCGCTTGTTGTACCAAGACGCTGTTTGCAAGGGTCGTTTGTCTTCAGAGGTGATGAAGTCCGATGCTTGTTACCTATATCTCATCACACTGTCCGAATAATCTGCGCTGGGGTGGCTTTAGGCCCGAATGGAGTTTGTACTGGTATTGCCAAGACATGGATGTGAGTAGTGTAGTGCAGTGCTGGTAATGCTGTCGAGGCAATGTCAGCCTGATCATCTTCGGGTACATCTTTACGTCTCCAGGTACAACATTATAAGAGCTATTATGAGTTTTTTTAGGTGTAGCATTCTAACTCACGACCAAATAGAAGAGCACCATAATCAACCTGGAGGTTTAGATGAAGCCTAACGGCATTTCAGATGTCTCGCAGCCTCGTAAGTAGGGGCAGCTGAAAGATGCCAAGCAAGGCTCGTATGATCGTACTTTACGCGGTGCGGCTGCATGGAACCAGCCGCTGTAAGTCCGTAGCTGGGAGGAGTAGCTCGGCACGTAGTCTGGAGAAAAATCATAGAAGTCCCAGGATGTCCGCCTGGACTCAGTGTGAGGAGCGTTCTTCACTTGCGATACCCCCACGCATTCTCATCTTTAGTCCATGAAGTGCCTTTTAGCCAACGCGGTACTGAGTTCTGAACAGTATTCAGATACTGTGTCAACGCGATGTTGCTCATGAAGTCTCGTGGTGTGCCTCATGCAGCTTGTTCTAAATCAGGAACAGGGGCCTCGGGAGCAGTTCAGCCACGGGCCGTCCGTGGACTACGAGTACTGCAAGACTCAGGAGACACTCGTCGAAGATTGGCAGGCGAGGCGAGTGAGGTCTCGTGAGGCTGACCTAGACCACGTGTAGGTCCAAAACCAACAGCGGGTGATGCTCGGCGCTGCAGGTGCGGGAGCACGCGCGGAGGTCCCGTCGGCTGGGCATTATCGTCGGATCTTAGCATACCCTAAACGGCCTGCCTTGTGCTTAAATGTGCTGCTACTGTGGCCTATCTCAGTCTTCGGCGAGATGGCGGTGATTTACTGTATGTATTCCTAGGTAGCATTAGACGATGTGAGGTATAGCTCAACGGAGGAAGGAACAGGGGTGCAGTGCGGAGAGGTTGAATTGCAATATTGAAGAACACAAAGCACTTCTTAGCATTGAGCCTAGCATGCGCAGTATTAGCAGATTCTCCATAGGAAGGATATGTTGGTGCAAAGAAGTATGAATCAAGCCTTTTGCGGAAGCTTCGGTCTAGTCTCGGCTGCGGACTGCGACATGAAGCACGGCTTCTGAGATAGACGTCCAATTCATGCAGATCAGATGTATGTGTGATCTGTCCAACGATTGAAAAGCTTCATAGACGAAAACCTGAGCTCATTCAATACCTGCGATGCAGTTTCAAATCTTATATTGTCATGTTAGCCAGTGCTGTCAGTTAGCCGGATGCGGATCATCAGCAGAGAAAGCTACCCCACTTCGTCCCACAAGCAGCAAACTCTGCACCTCATATACTGTATGGTTGAGCGATGCAGATCTAGGATGTATCCGGAAGTATCGTGATGAGAGCTGCTAGTACATAAGTTATATATTTTACAATTTACAAATTTTCATCAACCATCCGATTCTAATTCATCGGCCTAATGGCCCAATGGCAAGGCGCTTGACTACGATTCACATCTGCAATCAAGAGATTCCAGGTTCGACCCCTGGTTAGGTCATCAAAACCTTTTTTTGCCCTTTTGGTGTATTTATCTTCTTGGCAATGCTCCGTAAGTCTATCAATCAATCAAGATGAAAAGCTCACGCAGGTGTCTGCTCTTCGTTGCCAAACTTGGTATCGTGCTTATCTTTCACTTGAATCTTGATGGTCACCTAGGTACACTTTCGATATCCCTTCCTTATGCATTCGAGGTTGCGGCAAAAGTCTTTCGTCGTTGGAATAAAAGGAAATTGAAGTATTTGGATTAGTGAGCAGACCTCTCACGACACTCTTCTCTCAGCCTCAGCCTGATGGATGCTGCCGCATCTGATATGTTTGCTTTTTTGGGGGCGCTTTCGCCAAATGTTTCAGCCTCGTAGTCCATCGGTGAAGTCTGCCTGAGCTGTGCAGCCATGATCATGTGGCACACAGCCAGACTTGTACAAAATCTAACGCCTGGCCTTATTGCTTTGCTAGTTCTTTACTCTGAGCCCCGCCGCATAAGCATCTCTAAGAGCCCTGTAACGCGATCACGACTGTCTATTTTGCGCCCTAAAATGCCATCTCGCGGCTTTCAGCGGAGAAAGGCGACCCGATTGATAAGACACAAGAAGGACAAAGATAGAGACTACCCCTATGGCTATCAGAAATGAAAGAGTAATTCTGCTTGCAACGCAGTACGCACATCTGGAGGCGAATGGAGCGCCTCAACTTACGAGTCGATCTTCGGCAACGAGAGACTCTGATCTTTACATTGGCGCGGACATCGAACTCCGCTTCTCGCCATCTTCGACGATTAGAGACACGAAGCGCATCTGGCTCGTACAGTTTGTGAGGGCAATCATACCTCCCACCGACATCAGGCTTACAAAACGGGGTTAGAATCTCGACCATTCTACTTCAGCGACTGTACCGTATTATGGTATGAGCGGTCACCACAAGCCGACAACAGCGGGATGGGACATTGTGTGATTTCTCAAGAACAAATTGAAGGGCAAAGTTGTGGCAAAACAAGGCCAAAAAGTGGACGCTCAGGTCGTGGTTGCCTTGTGTATTGATGCACCGAGAGAACTCATGAAGCGCAAAGCTCTTCGCGAGGCTGGATCTAAGACTTCGCTTTTTACAACGTATGCATATGACGAAGATAACGACTGCTGGCTTGGGGGAGTCAGCTGGGGCTATACCGTGTCGTGGAATGTCGAGGGTCAAATGGCTCAATTGGAGTTACTTGATTTGCAGCAGCGCAGTGTTGGTGCGCCGCTGGAGGAGGAAGTGGAGGTTTGTCAGTTGTGGAATGCTGAAGGGCCGAAGGGCCGAGTTCTGCTATCTTTATCAACTAGCAAGGGAAGTGGATGGGAGGATAAGAACTCTTGATCAGTCTTCTCCCCAGCCACGCTCTCACTTTCTTATCTCACTGCTAATACCTCCAACGGCGGGGTTACCTTGTCAGAGCAATCGTGCCAGAGAATAGTATGTGCAGTAATGTAGTAGTTGTTCCAACATTCTGTATCTAAAGAGGACGTCGTCGTGAACTGAAGTCTTGATTCCCTTCTCCCTAGTGACTAGAGGTCAGAGTATGATACTTGTCTGATCCGATATAGTGGTGTGGTGACGACAACACGCCAAAGAACGGGTGCAAGTGGCTTGAAAACATGCTGTCGACAGTCACGAATCCCTGTCACTTGGTGTCAATAGCTTGTCGTACTCGTTCTCGTGTCCGTCAGACACAAGGACATCCCTACCGGTCGCGTTCGAACACGGCCCATAGATGAGTTTTTACACTGACTCTAGCAGAGCCCGAACCCAGAGGTTCTTGAGCAGGGACAGTGGGTCGAATGCGGCGTGGTACCAGTCGTTCGTCGTCTCTTCCTGGGTGTCTTCGCATCAAAATATCATTGATATATTTGTCGCGTCTTGTTGTGAGGCCACCCAGGCAAAGCTTTCAGCTGCCCAACAACGGGATGATAGGGCGAGTATCCGCAATCGCGCATATTGTACCACGGCTCTGCCTTGTTTTGTTGGATGATACCCCGCGCGTAAGTGGTGCGGAGCTATTCGAGCTGAAACAACGTGACCCGCGCTTTGTCAATGTTGACGCGGGACGTTGCCTCGCCAACGCAGCTTCCAAAGACACAGCCACTAATGACCACCAGGTCGCTCCAACTCCAAGCCAACGCGATCACCACCAGCATTGCATCACTTTCGTCTTGTGCACAGCATTATTCGAACTTGCATCTCTGCTGCACTTTTGGACTTGAGGTTGCGCATTGGACGCGTATATACTCTCGTTTGCACCCCCAACAGCAGCTACTAGGATATACCTACATCTACATTCCTCGCCTACATCGACCGCTCCCCGAGTGCGCTTTCAAGTGCACGATATAGCGCGAACTCGATCTCCATTACCGTGCGCCCGGTGCATGCGCTGTTGAAGAGTCTGCTGGCAGGTCTGCAGTCACCATGGACACGAGCTACCTCGCCCAGCAGGTCACCACCATCATCGGCCAGCTTCATGGCCTTTTTGATGAGATTGGTGTACCCAGCCATGAACGGGACTCGCGCGAAGCAGAGGTACATACTATTAACCATGCGCTTGATACTTAGGACTAACGTGTCGACAGCTCTTCTCTGCGCTCTCCGAGACCCTACACAACCAGCTGCGACAAGTCACCAACGAGAAGCATGAGATGACTGAAGAGGCGCAGCGCTTGGCCACCACCATCAGGCAAATGGAGGCGTCGCTCGACGACAACAAGCCCAACCCCAACTACGATAGCCACGACAGCACTCCCATTACATACCCATTGACGCGCTGCTTACAGGGCCTGAAGGAAAAGTACAGCGCCGTTAGTAAGCTACATCGCGAGCGCTTCGAGCAGGTCAGGAAACTCGCCGAGGCTCTTGAATCGTACGCGTCACATCTTGAGGCATCCTTTGTCGAGATCAAGCTGCCACCTACGGCACAGAACGCTTCCGTGTCGCCCTCGTTCGACATCTCGCCCTCGTACGTCGCAAAGCTCGACAATGAGTTCACCCGCGTCTACGAAGAGTACACACGACGCATCAACACAGTCAAGATCCTCTGCCAGGAGATTATCCAGCTGTGGGCAGAACTGGGAACACCACAGGCCCAAACAGACAGTGCGATTGTGCAGTGTCACCGCGACGCGCCGGAACAGCTTGGCTTGCATAAGGATGACATCGCGCAGCTGAAGGCGAAGAAGGAGCGGTTGGTTGAAGAGAAGCGCAGTCGGGAGCGACGATTGGGACAACTGCGCGGCACCATCGAGGAGCTTTGGGAGCGCCTAGGCGTCGAACAACACGAGCAGAAACAGTTTCTGAACAGCAACCGCGGCTGTGGCCTGCGGACTATCAATGAGTACGAGGACGAGCTGGCGAGACTGAACGAGCTCAAGCGCCAGAACCTACACTTGTTTGTCGAAGAAGCACGATGCAAGCTCCAGGAGCTCTGGGATGCGCTATACTTCTCCGAAGAGGAGATGCTCGACTTCACACCTGCTTTCTCAGACGTCTGCAGCGACGCCCTCTTGTCAGCGCACGAAGCTGAGATCGCCCGCCTTGAAGCGCTCAAGGAACAGCGACTGCCCATCCTACAGAAGATTGACCGACACCGAGAACTTATCAAGGAGCGCAACGACCTTCAACAATCGAGCCAGGATGCCTCCCGTCTGATGGCCCGTGGCCAAAAGGGCGAGAAGCGTGACCCAGGAAAGCTGCTCCGCGAAGAGAAGATGCGAAAACGCATTGCGAAGGAGCTTCCTAAGGTCGAAGCAGTACGTATAGTGCGTAATCAATGATAAGGGCCATACTGACGAAAAACAGGAATTGAAGAACACCCTCGAATCATGGGAGGACGAATATGGCCGACCATTCCTCGTACACGGCCAGCGTTATCTTGACGAGCTGTACGCTGCCGCATCCAAAGCAGCACCACCGCGCGCAAAGACACCATCAAATTCGAGCATGCCCACTAAGCCGGCGACTGCGCCAAAGTCTGGACCTCCAAGTCGTGCTGGAACTGTTCGGGGGCCTCCTCCTAGCCGTGCAAAGACGCCTGTTTCCAACTTCGGCGCCAGCGTGTCTCGTAACCCACTTGCCAGTTCAGTCATGTCATCCGCTGGTGCAAAGAGTCCCTCGAAGATTCCTGCTCGCGCTCCATTGAAGAATCTGCAGCATGGTGGCAATTCGCCTGAGCGTCGGCCTCCTCCGCCTTCCCGAGAAGACTCGTCTACCATTCGAAAGATGCCTCCTCCCATGGCACCACCTCCACGTATGAAGGACCTATTCGTTCCACCGGAGCCCGCCGAAACCCCGCTGAACCGTTTCGAGTTCAACCGTGGGGACAGGAGTGAGAGTATAGTCAGGAGCATACAACCAGAGGACCCCTACGATGACCGACCATACATGTCGCATAACCAGAGCATGCGTGGATATGCACCATCGTACCCACCACCATCGTTGTCCTCTTCGAGTAGTCGCCAGATCTCTCAGACCTCTTCTACAGGCACGGGCGCAACAATGCAGTCAGGTTCTGAAAACTGGGAGACGTTCAGCGAGCAGTCAGATGATCCGCCCGAGAACGACATTGACTACCAGCACTATCGGCAGCGCCAGATGAAGCGATACACTCCCGAAGGTGGCCATGCTTCGAGCCCGCGGGGTGTGCAGGGCAAGAAGATTCGAAGCATTCGTAATGTCGATGGGGGCGAGCTGATGATCGAGAACGATGGTCGACTGGTGCGCGTTATCGAGGGCTCAGAAGCTGGTTGGACTGACGACGGTGACTACTGAAGCCTCTGACCAGTCACCCATCATTCTTCACATGCTTGATGAGCTTACGCCCACGTTCCGCATGACTGACGGCCAACTGTCCCCCACATGACGGTTCTTTGAGCCTTCTATTCTTCCAGGCGCTGCAAGCGCTTCGGCTTGCATCCTTCCTACTCTTCGACTCGGCTCTTTGCATAGCATCACCTGTAATTCTTACACCAGACACGG